GGTAAGAGAAAATGTTAAAATCAGAGAGAAAAATACTCAGAATTTTTTCAGTGTTTTGGCAGCGCCTGTAGCTCAGTGGGTAGCGTACTGGCCACATACACCAAGGCTGGCAGGTTCGAATCTGGCCTGGGCCAGCTAAAACAATGGTAACTGCAACAACAAAAAAATAGCTGGATGTTGTGGCAGGTATAGTTCCAGCTACTCTGGTGGATGAGGCAAGAGAATTGAGTAAGCCCAAGAGTTGGAGGTTGCTGTGAGCTGTGATGCCACAGCACTATATACCAAGGACGACATACTGAAACCTTGTCTCAAAAAAAAAAAAAATCAGTGATTTATGACAAAATTATTAAGTGCTTAAACAAATTCATAAAGATGTTCTAATGTTGGGATTTCATTCTATAATATTACTATCAGCAAGCTAATTATACAGACTCATTTGAACCCTTGGCCAATCAAAACATCTTTAAACTACTATTCTTCTAGTATTTATTTACTGGTCCACAGAAATTTTTTCCAGGTGGTCCTCCCAATTTCAAGGATTTTTACAGACATCAAGACTCACCTCAGTAGTATTTAGGGTATTTGTCACTGCGATGTCCTGGTTTTTTTTGAGACAGAGCCTCAAGCTGTCCCCCTGGGTAGAGTTCTATGGCATCACAGCTCACAGCAACCTCCAACTCCTGGGCTCAAGGGAGTCTCCTGCCTCAGCCTCCCAAGTAGCTGAGACTACAGGCTCCCGCCACAATGTCGGGCTATTCGCCACAATGCCGGGCTATTTTTTGGTTGCAGCCATCATTGTTGTTTGGAGGGCCCGAGGTGGATTCCAACTGGCCAGCTCAGGTGCATGTAGCTGGCGCCTAAGCCGCTTGAGCCATAGGCACCGAGCCAATGTCCTGTTTTCTTTAGCACAACTGCCAAAAACCTCAGTAAAATGTTAAATCACTCAACCATTTTCTAATCTTGAGTCCCACCAAATACAGCAATAGAATTTAAAACAGAGGTAATGAGGATGATTATTACTATTATTACTTTTTGGGACAGGGTCTCACTTTGTCACCCTCAGTAGAGCACTGTAGTGTCACCGCTCACAGCAACCTCCAGCTCTTGGGCTTAGGCGATTCTCTTTGCCTCAGCCTCCAAGTAGCTGTGACTACAGGCACCTGCCACAACACCGGGCAATTTTTTGTTGCAGCCGTCCTTGTCACTTTTAGCAAGTCTTGACCGTGTACAAACCGGCCAGCCCCAGTGTATGTGGCTGGCACTCTAACCAGTGAGGCACAGGCACTGAGC